TAGGTTAATGATCTGAAATGCAGCTAAAGAGAATGTTTCCACCTGCCACATTCTCATTTAATATGCAGCAGTTATTTCTCGTGAAATATTGATCAAAAACCACTACTGGTCTTGTCTTGTGTGTGCGTGTGTGTGTAAGAGAGAACGTTTACTATCTTGTACAATCTTTTTTTTTTTACCTTGCAAACAACGTCAGCAGAAATGGCTAAAACAAAAACCGTCTTGATTTTCTTTTCAAACTCTCATCTCAATGAACATCATTCATTGTTAAATACTTAAACACTTTATTTGTCCATTTAGATAGCACATTTCCACTACTCTATTAAATAGTGAATTAACAGGCTTTTACGAAAGAGAATATATTATATGCTAATTTGCAGTTAATTTGTAATGTTCAAAAAAAGTATTTATTTTTCTCATACTGCCTGTGTGCTGCAGTACCTCTCTTCACCCTGTGATTGGTTAGCTGGCCGGCTCTGTTGTGATTGGTCAACCGCTGATAGATGTCCCGCCCCTTAGCCTATCATGGACAATGTGTTTGAGTGCCAGCCAATAGAAGCGCAAGTCTTACATAAGGATGTCACTAGGTTACAGAAACTCCCTCTGGAGGGAACTTTTGGATTTAAGCCTTTGCAGACCATTATCATGCACTAAAACCCATATGACCCACTAAGGAAAAGCCCAAAAGCATAAAAGGGCCTCTTTAAGCAGTTCTTTATGAAATTACAGCTTTACATGCATTAATGTAAATGCATGTATTACATTAAAAACATTAGATGCTTTTTTAACCAAATAAAGCATCATCGTTTGCATTCCTGTCGAGGCACAGAGCCCTTTCTAGTAAATGCTACGAAGATGAACTTGACCGAAGACCACAGCGCAGACTGCTTTCAAATTGGATTAAATCCCCAAATCATGATCAATCATCTACAGCTCGCTGTGCCAAGATGGCGGAGGTTTATTTCTCCATTTTAAGATGGAACTACTGCATGCTATAGCAACAGAGCTGGACATTTTGTAGCTTTAGCTGCTGCTTGTAATTTGTGAATGTGTGTGTCCTGGTAAGAGATAAACACAAATAAAATGTAAGTACCGAACACAGAGCCACAGCGCACAGATACACACCATAGATACACACCACGTAGCACAGCAGTCTGCAAGCAACAAAATGCGTGAGGTGATAATTGAATTTTGGAAACATTAAGGGGAGATAGGGAGGGGGTGCGGCTATCCTGGGAGATACAGTCCAATAACAATGGCAAGAGACGGTAAATTCCTCTGCTCCTTTGTCAGGGCGAGACAGCAGGCAGTGCTGGGCCATGCCCCTCATTTTCTGGTAAAAAGCAGCAGGCAAACGGCATGTGTGCCACTGTATGGGATGATGTGTGCATGCTTCATGCCTCGCTGAAGCGTTGGTATCACGCCATGCCTCTGCGTGAGCCTCCTCAAACACACCTGCTCCTGACGCCTCAGAGAAAACAGCTTGGCCGTATTTAACTGTACGAGCAACGACAGAATGTGGTATTACAATGAGAAGATATATCTTTACTAGCCTACTTCTTACTTTCGTGCAGTAAAATAATATAATTACATACTCACCAACATTTTGTATGTAATTTGTTTTGACGGAGTTAGTTTAAATGAGCAGTCGCAGCCCAGCATTATAGCGTTTTTTCCCGTGTTGCCCTGGAAACGGTGAAGGTTGATTTCAGATACCTTCTAACAAGGCTGGATAAGTTTGTCAAGAGAATAAGAATAAGAATGGTCTTTTATAGATTAAAAAACACTTCTTAGAGCCTTTCAGTTTGCTAGGCTATCTTGACTTTTTAGGAAAAAATAGGTATTTTAAATGAGTGTTTGCTCTCTTTTTGTCAAAGCGACCTTTAAGTTACTTGTTGACCTTTTACTATTAAAACGTGTTTTATCTAGCCTATTAGCTAACATTTTATCCAACTCAAACACGTGAGCTATAACCTACGTTTTATCAAATTAATTTTAAATGCATAAAGACTATGAAATATCATGTCTCAAAATAATCTTTTACATTGTCTTTCTGAGTGACAAGCATTCGGCACTACATATATTATTATATTTATATCAAAGGGAACTTTTTTGCTAAGTAATTGGTTGGTTAATTTATTAAGAAATACAATGCTGTTTCTTTGAGCACATCGCTCTCATTTTAGTGCAGAGCGACAGATAAGATAAACAAATGCACCCTCAGCAACAGCACATTTGTATTAGCCACATCTCTCTCAGAACTCTGCTGCTGCTCCAAGTTAACAGACTAATATGTAATGTGTGTAAATACTTTATTTCCCTACATAAACAAGTAGCGTTCTGGAAAGACATTCTGGTTTGAGTCCTTATTTGATGCTTTTGTGCTCTACTCTAAACGTATTTCTGGTGAGAAGTAAGAGGGAGTGTAAAGGGGGAGAGGTGAAGGGAGTCGAGGTGCTTTGACGGTGTCTTGGGGTCGTGTGAAGCCCACAAAGCCTCTCTGTGTGTGAGGGTGGCAGGCCAGTGATGTCATTGCTGGCAGGACCCAAAGCCCACTGAGCCTGTGAAGGCATGACATGAGTGGGACACAGAGGAGTGTCGCCGGCATTGTTCTGTGTAATCAGTCCGTGACGGGGCAGCGCTCCATCCTGCAGCTAGAGAAACACAGCCTGCCACTCAAATCAATTCGTATCAGCAGCTCCCAATGATGCGAGCTTTTTGGATTATTTTTGGACAGCTTACAGTGTACATCTCAACAGGAAGTAGGGTATATACTGTAAGGAGACACTCAAAAAAGGAGACTTGAAAAAAATGTTGGGTTCATAATGATGTGGTGCACTTGGTAACTGGATGCCAACAAATTAACTAATCCTAATTGTAATTGTGTGACTTATACACAAAACTCTTAAAACCTCACTAAAACTAATATACTTTAGTGCTTTAACAGTAAATACTAGGATACAGTCCCATGCTTGCCCATTATAACATGCAGGTAATCTGTCATCACTATGTTAAAGCCTAAGACGGCATGTGTTTCACAGGCACAGTTACCGGTACATTAACAGGACCTTATAAGGGTTAAGGCATTATAAAGAAAGAGAAGGGAATAACATGATGCATTGATGTTTTTTGACTGTGGCAATGAAGAACTGCATACAGTTTCCTTCAGCCATCGTTCTTTATTTTGCCTTGGTGTGTGTAAAATGCCCTCATGTCCCTCCTTTATGCTTGTCTTGTTACATTTCCGCCACAGTATGAGAGCTATAGGCATTGGATGTTTTTATTTAAAAAAAAGGGATATCATGGTCATTGAGATCAAGGTTTCTAATCTGAATGAAATCTGAACTGACATCTCAAGGATTTGGTGTTTCTGGCCGTTTTTTTACAAACACATCACCAACCATACACCAACTGTAGTGTTGCTGCCGCAGCTACAAATGCATACTTGGGAAAAACTAGCTTATCAGCAACCGTTTTTTAAAGAGCCTTTTAGCCAAACAAAGAGGAACCAATCCTTCAGCTGTGGCATTTGCCAGGGATTTATTGGCAGAGCGGTGTTTATCGACTGCACGTTGTTTCCTAGTAGAATGTGATCGAGGACGAGAGAAAGGCTTCTTTTCAGAACGAGCCTTGCGAGTATCGTGTAAACACACACTGAGAGAGGCTCCTTTCATTAGCTATGCTAATCTGGAGTGCACGTGACTTGCCGCAGACTCGAGGGTTCCTCCTGGCTCTCTCTGTGCTGTCTCCAAAGGCCGGGGCCTTTTTTTATCCTATGATGGAAACATAGATTTTGCTCTTGGTGAATTTGCTCTTTTCCTTCCTGCTGTTTGGTTGTCTGGTCCCTCTGACACAAGTACCCCGACTGGCAGCTTTAATAGATGGAGGGCTCTGATAACGCCAACCATGTCACCTTTTGCTTCTCTGTTGCCGTCTATGCTTAAAATGAAGCAAGGCAATGGTCCTCTACCTAACCCTCTACCCCATGGTAAAGTTTGACGTTTTGAAAGATACTCTTATTCTGTTTATTGCAGAGAGCTGGTTAAGAAGATGCTATGCTCTAACCCTACCAGAAACACAACAAAATATTTGAAGGGAATATCATTTGAAGATATTTTTTACATTCACACTTTACATTACAGCTAATTTCAATGAAAAAAAACTGGACTCCTGCTTTATCTGATTCTGTATGTGTGTGCATCATGTAAGCATAGTATATATAAATCACTTGAAGCTGTTATGGTAATCTTGCACTAAAGTTCTTAATTAAAAGAGAAAAAACTGCTCTGTAAGCTGATAAACTGTTACTTTGATGAGTGTATTCTTTTTTTATTTAACATGAAATTTATACGGCCGCACAGGATCCATTTCAGGAGCTGGCTATTAGAGGGTAATTACTACATGTTAGATTATGTCACTTACTCAGAGAAGATGAGGAGTGGAGAATCACTCACCTCCATCAATTAATATGATGTATGAGTCGATAAGGGATATGGGTGGGATATTTGCCGCATCTCAGCGAGTCAGAAGGTGATCATTTGCAATTCTCTTCAAGGTCTCCCCTGTTTTTAATAAAGCTGGCGACTTAAAGTGGTGTTTCTTACACATGTAATCATTTCTTTATTGATTCGTCAGCATCTTAGGGAATGGTTTCTCATGAAATATATCCCGGCTATGATAACCCATCTCAATTGCAATCATGAGAGGAAATCATTACAAGAAAGAACCCCCATGGGAATGCACAAAATGTTGATGTGCCTGTCCAAGTGTGCGTGTGTCTGGGTGTGCAAATGTTTGCACAATAGTGTGTGTGTGTGTGTGTGTGTGTGGGCGTTGCTATAGTGTTTGCCCTGTTACAGAACATCCCTCCGCCATGACACTTACTCTTGTCTAGTAGCAACAAGGAGGTACTTGATCTCATGCACAAGCAGTGACTGATAACTCTCTTTATCTTTTCCCCTCATCCCCCCTTCTCCATGCCATTGTCTCTTCTCCTTCAGGCTGTGAGGACGGGGGGAAGATGAGACCTCCCAGCCCTCTTCTGATCCTGCTGTATGTCACACTGTCCAAGGGTGTAAAGGTGGTCTCCAAAAGAGGCTCAGGTATGTCACACACCTACTTTCGTTTATGTTCGAAGCCTGTTTATTAAAATGGTCCGATAACTGTTTTTATGTACGTATGTATGAATGTCTTCCATTTCTGTGTCTGCGTTTTATGGTAGCCGCCGACCATCAATAGCTTGCGCCATCTTTGATGTAATTTTGAGGCTTCTGCTAAATTTCACTGACATAAATTCATCGTATTCGTGCTGTTCTTTTATGAACTTCTGTCTACACTAAATTTAAATAGTCTAGACCTTATATTCCAATGATAGTCACTGTTGGATGTGATTGGCTGGTGAAAAATCTTCAATTATTGTTTATTGTTGTCATCGTGCCTCAGGGCACACTTTAAACTGCTTGATTCTGCAGGTGTCAGATGCTGCAGTGTGCATGTTACATGCTTTAAAAAGATGATTGGAAGGTAATTGCAGAGGGTGATGCCCTTCCCCCTTCTGTATGAGAATTACTCGCACAAGAAAATGTGTGCACTCTTGAGCAATTTAGCCTTAAGTGCAACTTGTCTGCCTGCGCTTTAGGTAAGGAGCCCATGAATTAATGAAAAGATATACACTGTACTTCTTTAAAATTAGCTAGACCTACCTCAATCTAAAGAGAGTGACAGCTACCAAATGATCCAATTGCTCACTGACAGGGTCACCAAGGGTTAGTGCGAAACTCATTTTGGCTCTAAATGCCAGCAAATTGAGCATCAATTGTGAACAAATGCAAAGGTCAAAAGAGAAAATGGAGAGCAAAAAGATTGAAGGTAGAAGCTTTTCATGACAGGAATACATATAGGGATTCAGGTAGTCAGTGAAAATACTGTGAAGACAAGCTGCCATCACAGATAAAAAGTAGGCCTTATAAACCACAATGTATAGCGGGGTTTTTTAAGCATTTCATATTTACATATTAGTATAATACATGTTATCAATCAATCAATCAATGTTTATTTATATAGCCCAATATCACAAATGTTACATTTGTCTCAGTGGACTTCACAGTTTGTACAGAATATCAGTATGACAATACGACACCCTCTGTCCTTAGACCCTCACATCGTACAAGGAAAAACTTCCGGAGAAAACCCACAGTTTAAAAGGAAAAATGGGAGAAACCTCAGGGAGAGCAACAGAGGAGGGATCCCTCTCCCAGGACGGACAGATGTGCAATAGATGCCGTGTGTAAATAGAAAAGATAATACATTTGCAACATAGGTAGTCCAAATATTTGGAAATGCATGTGTGTATAATAGGAAGATGAATCCACGAGGATATCCATCCAGGACCTATGATCCAGGACCACAGCCACGACTCAAGATCCAGGGCTCGCGATCCAGGACACAGGACCGCAGGATCATCTGACTCCGGATCCCAGCGTATACAGACACCAAAAAGAAAGACATTTGGGGAAGCTGGGTTAATCGGAACATGAGAGTACACAGGTATAGACAAAGAGAAGGAAGAAGTAAGATGTCCCCCGACAAACTAAGCCTATATCAGCAAAACTAGGGGCTGAATCTAATCAGCCCTAACTATAAGCTTTATCAAAAAGGAAGGTCTTAAGCGCACTCTTAAAAACGGATAGGGTGTCTGCCGCCCGAACACAAACTGGAAGCTGATTCCACAAATGTGGAGCTTGATAAGAAAAGGCTCTGGCTCCCATTGTACTTTTAGAGACTCTAGGAACAACCAACAACCCTGCATTCTTGGAACGCAATGCCCTAGTACAGGGGTCGGCAACCCGCGGCCCACGAGCCGCATGCGGCCCTTTAAGCCCTCTGCTCTGGCTCCCTTGAGCTTAGACAAAAATAAGAAGGAAATAAAATAAAAGTATTTGTAGGACTATTTATATTTTGTTGCATGATTGAAAATGACACATAAATAAAAAACAAAATGGTTTTAATTAGGTCAACTAAAATATGCGTCACATCCCGCTACGGTCCCGCGCGAGCGCCTTTTCTTGGAGGTGAATAACCTGACCCCCGGCTCGATGAGCGAACTATGGATACATCAAAGAAAAGTACCGGAGGAACACAGGATTTAATTCTGCGTGGACAGAGTTATATGCTTTCACAGCAAACTATGCTGGTTTACCGGTATGTTTGATATGTAGAGAGAAGTTGTCAATGGTGGTGCAGCCTTTACGTATCGAGGAACAACAAGGGAGAGGAAGACAGCTGATGATCTTCAGTCATAATTCAATGGGGTATGTAATTTATTTCAGAAAACGCTTTTTGTTATATTCCATGGAATGCTCTTAACGTCCCGATAGCAATGAATATATTAAATGCTTTGACAATAAATACATACACAAATTAATCTCTGGAAGCCGTAGCGCTGTAAAAAGCACGACCAATCATCTGAGCCGGCCCGGCTAAAGTAACTGGATGGCCTACCTGCCTGTCAGCCTTCCATCTGTGCACAAACTTATCTCGTGCCCTCATTGGTCATGTGCGCGTTCGTGTGTGTTGGAGGAGGGACTCTGTAAGGAAGTCTGAAGGAAGAGACAGATTTTTTCCGGTTGTGTACTTTCAAATTCTAGCGCACTCGAGCTGGTTTCTCCATTCTTACCTACCCTACCTTTAACTCTTTTTAGGGTGCAGCTATATGTTTTATTTATTTCAAAGTGGGCCCATTTTAATAATATTTTGTTTTCTTTCAAATGTGCAGAGGACTCCCCAAGTGCTGTGTTTAATTTATTTTAAAGTAGGCCTGTGTATTATTTTTAATTCTCCTTATAAGAGTTCTTTGTTTCTTATTAGAGGTTAACAGTTTTATATCATGTCATAAATAGCCTAATAAATGCAAAAAAACTGTAGTTTTTGTCTGATATAACAATAAAAAACTATGAAATATGTTTTGCGGCTCCAGACAAAAAAATGTTTTGGAAAAAGGAGCAAAATGGCTCTTTTGGTCAAAAAGGTTGCAGACCCCTGCCCTAGTAGGACAATAAGGTATAATGAGTTATTTAAGGTTAGATGGCGCCTGCCCATTAAGGGCATTGTAGGCGAGAAGAAGAATTGTAAATTCTATCCTGTGTTCTATAGGGAGCCAGTGTAAGGCAGCCAGAACAGGAGTAATGTGGTCCCTTTTCCTAACTCTGGTTAGTACACGAGTTGCAGCATTTTGAATCAGCTGAAGCGACTTGACTGACTTCTTGGTACACCCTGATAATAAGGAGTTACAATAATCCAGCCTTGAAGTAACAAATGCATGGACTAGTTTCTCTGCATCGTTTTGAGGCAAGATATGCCTGATTTTTGCAATGTTACGTAGATGGAAGTAGGCGGTCCTTGAAATTGATTTTATGTGGGCGTTAAAGGATAAATCCTGATCAAATATAACACCAAGATTCCTTACAGTCTCACTGGAGGCCAAATTAATGCCATCCATAGTTAGTATATCTTTAGATCATTTGTTTCGTAGATTCTTCAGGCCAAGTACAATAACTTCAGTTTTGGTCGTGTTTAACATCAAAAAATGTAAGGTCATCCACGTTTTTAAGTCCTTGAGGCAGTCTTGACTTTTATTTAGATGATTAATTTCATCAGGCATGATTCATAAATATAGTTGAGTATCATTCGTATAGCAATGAACATTTACAGAATGATTCCTTATAATATTGCCTAACGGAAGCATATATAATGTGAACAAAATAGGTCCGAGCACTGAGCCCTGTGGGACTCCATGGCTAACTTTGGTTTGCGTGGAAGATTCATCGTTGACACGTACAAACTGAGAGCGTTCAGATAGATAGGACCTAAACCAGCCTAAAGCAGTTCCCTGTATGCCAACTAAGTGCTCTAGTCTTAATAGGATATCATGGTCGATAGTATCAAATGCAGCACTGAGATCGAGCAAAACAAGAATAGAGACAAGTCCCTTGTCAGAGGCTATTAGAAGGTAATTTGTGACTTTAACCAGAGCTGTCTCTGTGCTATGATGTGTTCTAAAGCCAGACTGAAAATCTTCAAATAAATCATTGTTTTTTAAGTAATCACACAGCTGTTTTGCGACTGCCTTCTCAAGAATCTTTGAGAGGAACGGAAGATTAGAAATAGGTCTATAGTTGGCTAAAACCTCTGGATCGAGGTTGTGCTTTTTAAGAAGCGGTTTTATCACTGCTACTTTGAATGATTGTGGAACATAGCCTGATAATAAAGACATATTCATAATATTTAATAAAGAAGTGCTAATTAATGGAAAAACTTCCTTCAACAGCTTAGTTGGAATTGGGTCTAACATACACGTTAATGGTTTAGAAGAGAGAATCATTTAATTTAATTGTTCAAGGTTTATGGCTGAAAAGCATTCTAGTTTACTATCTAGTGTAATATTAGAACTTACGTTTCCGGGAGCTGTTGATAACACTATACTGGTCAAAGGCAAGAGGTCATTAATTTTGTTTCTAAGAGTAACAATTTTATCGTTAAAAAAGCACATAAAATCATTACTACTGAGTGCTATCGGAATAGAAGGCTCAATCGAGCTATGGCTCTCTGTCAGCCTGGCTACAGTGCTGAAAAGAAATCTTGCATTATTCTTATTCTCATCTATTAATGAAGAGTAGTAGGCTGCTCTCGCTTTACGCAGTGCTTTCTTATATTCATTGAGAGTAATATGCCAAATTAAACGAGATTCTTCAAGTTTAGTGGAACGCCATATCCTTTCAAGTTGTCTCGACTTTTGCTTTATTTTGCGGGTTTCGGCATTATGCCATGGAGCTAATCTATGTTGTTTTATTTTCTTCTTTTTCAAAGGAGCAACAGAGTCTAATTTTATTCGCAGCGCATATGTAGCACTATCAACAACATGATCAATTTGGGGTGGTGTACATTTTGTATAAGTTTCCTCCCCTACATGCAGACATGCTATCGAGTTAAGTATTGGTGGAATCGCTTCCTTAAATTTGGCTATAGCACTAACAGATAGGTTTCTGCTGCAGGACCTTTTGACTAATGCTTTGTAGTCTAGTAACAGTACTTCAAAAGTTACTAA